ATTCTGGTATCTAACCTCCATTTTCAGGGCCAGAGGCTTCTATGGTTTTTTTCCCCCCCTCTTAAATTACATCATTACCTGGAGATGTTCTATTTGCTTTATAGGTCAGAGTAAAACTTTATTTTATGGGAAAACATTCATTAAGTCAAAATTGTGTGTTTATTTCTGTTTTGATACATGGACAAGCTATATCTGAAGCATGACTTGTGGCCGTTTAGGGAATATGGAGGATTTGGAGAATCTGCTACTGAAGTTTGTGGCCATTTGGCAGCGTCTCAGATCTATTGTTGCAGATTTTTTTTTTATTACACAATAATGGGCAGAACACTGTTTAGTTTTCTCCATTATCCCCATGAGACTTTCTTCTAGCGGAACTGTAGCTCGATGTTTCATCTGGTCGTATTTTCTTTATGAGAATATTCCAAAGATAACCAAGATATTTGTTTGTTTGGTGTGTGTGTGTGTGTGTTTGTGTATTTAATCTTTTTAAAAGGCATGATCAAAACATTGGTAAAAAAAACAACAAATAGGATAGTCTGCATTTGTGGTACTATTCTAATGATTTTGGACAGATCTAGAAATTTTACCATTTCAGTCTGGGACCAGGAATAGAAACAGTTCTTGCTTTATTTCTTATTCTTCTGATCTGTCTCACCCCTCAGCCCACTAGATTCACAACTGTTCTTTTCATACTTTGGTATATATTAATTTCTATAACCCCATCTCAATATTTAAACAATCAGAAAAAAAAACCCACAGTATTGGTCCATATATTGGGGGCAGGTATACTAAATAGCCTTCTCTTTTGCCACAGATATTCTGCGCATATTCTAAAGATAAAGTTACAGCTTTGGACTTGATTGGTGAAGTAATTATTCCCCACATAACAACAACTATATGGAATCATGCTGTAGGTGCAGATTTATGAGGAATTACCTTATATTCTGGCATTAAGCTGCACCCAGGCAATTTCGCAGATACATGTGTGTGTGTGGTGAAACTGCTGAGGGTTTAAGTTTTCCAGTTAGAATTTCTACTTTCTGATGCCAACACAGGACCGGAGTCTGGACTTTCCAGTTTCAGCAGTTTTCATTATTCTATTGCCAGACAGCTGTTTTTCAACTTGCAAAGCAGAAGAAGAAGAAAAGAAGAAGGAAAAAAAAACCCAGAGATTGCAAGGAGGCTTAAATGTCCTGTAATCTTTTAAACTGTCATGGCATTATGCTTTGTCCAGAAGAATGGGATTTAAAAGTGCTTTTAGTGGAATTAAGATCAATTATTGGACAGATTGTTTCCTAATTGGGCATATTTACTAGCATATAAAGATAACCTGCATATTTGTTTCTTTGGGGATCTATTTTTAAACTTTAGCATTGGAATGGATCCAGTTTGCCATATTAATTGCTTCACAATAACTAACCCAACCAATGATTACTTTTTGCATCTACCTAATGGCTCATGCAATATGACTTCAGATGAGCTATTTTAAATACATCAATAAATACAGATTAGTTATTGGCCTGCTCCATCTGGGAAAGACAGCAACCTTTTTGTTAATGAAGATGATGGCATAGCCTCCCTGGAAAATAGCACACAAAATAGTTGTTGTTTTCACTGAAGTTCTTTTCAATTGATAAAATCAGATATTTCTTTTGGCTAACAAATGACTGGAGTTATATAAACAAGTTAATCCATACAAATTTAATTTATTTGTGCTCTTTGGTGGGCTTATATAATAACAATAACTTTTTATGAAATGCATTCATTCAAATTTTTCAAAATGTGTAATGCTTTGCAATTCTCTACATGACAATTGTAGAATGTATCTATTTGGTTTAATCAGACTTAAGGTCTATTAATTTTGTGGGTTTATTTATTTAAATAATCTTGTGAAAGCTATAAGGATATCCTACAAGCATAGTAGGATCAGGTCCCTTAGAGGACTAAGTCCAAAATTAAAAAAGGCCAACAACTTAGTTTTGAGGGTGGTTATTTCTGAATTGGCTGAGGTGTGTCGAGCATTGTGGTATGTCAGACATGTGCAAGAATATATGCTTGGAATGATTTTGCCATGCTAACTATTAACATGCTAGCATGTTGTTAACATCCACTTAAGAGCTAGTATAAATCATTTTCTTCCCACTGAAATGGGAGTAAAAGCATTGAAAGGGGCTGGGAGAGAAGGGGAAATTCAACCTGCTTCTTTACCCTGTTATTCTGTAGTTGGAAGGCTCTAGAACTGGTGGAACTTTGTGCTTCATAGGATAGGCTTGCCAAGTTAGAAAAGGTCTAGGAAAACCTAACTTCATGTTATTGTATATATTGATTATACTATATTTGTATAAGATGCGACAAAATTCTAACGAACTCATTTTTATGTGAAAATAACATAGGATAGAGAATTGATCCCTAAGGAATTGTCAGGCCCAAGAAACCAGGAGCCAGGATAGAGTTCAAAAGCATTGTGAATATTCTCTGCTACTTATATCCAAGAATCTGATCTACTAACAGCCAGTGCCAATTGGTGCGAAATAATAGTCAAAGGACTTTAAGTGGGGCTGGACTGAGGTCACTTTCCGAGACATAGGGACTTCGACAGATGATGCATTTGACACGCCCTCAGGCTCCTCCTGGTCATCTCCTACATGAATACCAAACCCTCTAGTAAAGTTGTGGCATCTCTCAAAACAATACCTTTTGGAAATAACTCCAGAATAAAATTCCAAACCCTTTGGAATGGACATTGATATCTCTGTTTAGCTTTCCTTGTATTGTCCATCAAGGTGACTGGCAACTTGGTTATTAAGCAATGTGGTGTGTAAGTGAAACCATGATTGTGCTTATGATCTTACTGCAGCTTTCCATTGCTTCACAGAGTGACAAAGGATGTGAAAGACTGGTTGTAAAGTTACTTTTTCATATCTTCATAACTACAAACATCAGCTAAATATGGACTGCCTATAGTCGTTGTTATCTAAGAACCATGGGATAGAGATATTTCTATCTAACTTAGCAAGTTGTTAAAAAAAATTGAAGATTTGGAATAGGCCATAAATTATCAAATGATAGAATCCAGAAAGGAGTTATTTTCCTTACCCAAAGTTTTATAACAGCCAGCTTAAAACAGGTGAAACCAAAACTGCTTTAAGAAAAAAAAAATGACATATTTTTTGCCAGACTACTTACATTTCCTGCCTATTTAAATTAATTATGGCAGCAATTTATCTCATATGTTCAAAAAATATAATATACAACCCAGAGCAATTCATAAATGAAAAAATACCTGTAATAAACAGGTCAAACTTCTCTAAAAAATCTGCTATAATCACAATAATCAGAGGCGTAGAGATTTAATCTATAATGCTTTCATCAAATTGGTTGCCAAAACCTTTTTCTGTGTTAGTGCCTGATATATCAGGTCTAACTACTTGAAAGAGTTCCACAGAAAACTCAGTGTGGATGCACTGGAGATGAAAAGGTAATGGGTCGGGCGTGGTCTATTGCACCTTTTCAATGCGATGACCTTAATACAGATGCTAATCTGTGATCAATCTTATTTCTCCTGACATTTTTCACTATTGCTGATTTAATCTAGATGGAATTTAGTCTATATTAGTCTATAAAGATTATTCAGAAGCAGTTGCATTAACCGTGTTAGTCATTCATTTAACCAGCACTTCCAGAGAATCACAGCTGAAATGGTAAAAGGAGTTCATGTGGTATAGCTGTTAAAATGTAAGGATTAGAGCCAGGTTCAGATCTATCCTCAGCTATGTAACTATGTAAACTCAGTACGTCACTCATATTCTCCTAACGCAAACTATTCAAAAGGGATGTTGGACACCCCCCTCTCCAAAAAAAAAATTGGAGGAGAAATGCTATCTTGGACTTCTGGAAGAAAGGTAAGGTAGAAGTATATGAAACAAGCAAGATACATGAGAGCAAGTAGAAAATACCCACATTGCTGTAAAATAGAGTTTTCTCTTAGTGTTCCAGTCCTGCTGATATTAGGATTGCTGCCTTGATTTTGTTATTTCAGTTAAAATATGGATTGATAATGCTTAATAGCTTAAATAATAAAAATGGTTCAATAGGGTGCTCCATGATATACACATTGTACAAAACAAAGTTTAAGAGGGAGGAATATGCTTAGATAAAATAAAGCTCTCAGCCAGGTATATCCAACCCACATCCCAGGGGCCACATGTGGTCTTAGACAGCTAGTAATGCTGCTTTTAATATTAGTATATGATTTTATGTTATACAACTATATTTTATCTTTTATATGCGGTCCAAGACAATGCCTCTTCACTCAGTGTAGCCCAGGTAAGACAAAAAGTTGAGCCCCCATGGTATAGGCTGTTAAAAACTTTTGGGATATAGGTTTTTGACACATTAGTCAGTATACATGTTACTCTGAAGATTTGTAAGGTTATCGGGTGCTTAAATTCACTAATAGAAAGGAATCCATATATAAGACTGCAGTGTTAAATATGGAATATGGGAAGATTTAGTTTCGTACTTTTTCCCCTTCTCTGTGTACAAGTATCTTTATAGCTTTTATTTAATCTTTGGAATTTAATATCCTTGTAAATTTTGTATAAGGTTCATGATTTTTATTCTCAAATGGTTGAATCCTTCATTACTTAAGGCTGAGATCTTAGGCAATGTGTATTTGGTTGAAAGCCTTACTGGATTCAGTGAGAGTTTGGGGCAAATAAATATTAATAAAATCAGACAAGAAATTTTATAAAGTCAACAGCCTTTATTAGAGAAGTATAACATCACATTTGGCTGAACTTTTAATAAACTTTGTCCATTATAAAAAAAACATAATAAAATGTATGTACTCTAGACAGCTAAAATAACTGTCCTTGGAATAGATTTCATAATAATAAGATATTCCTATATAATAAATCCCCTTACAAAAAAAATCAAGTGAATACATTCAAAGGTGTCACTTTTTGACAAGTAATATGTTTATTTTTCAACAGTATAAGATGAGTGAAAGAGATCTTCAAGGATTTATTACAACTCAAAGAAATAGCAATATAGGTAATTTTTTAAAAAAACTTTTGATTGTTCTCTTTTCAATGTATGTATTTTAGCTTTCCTTACAATGTGATTAGTTATTTTAGTTACACATAGATTACAGGTAGACCTCAACAACTATTCATTCGGTGCCTGTTTGAAGCTACGACAACACTGAAAAAAAGTGAATTATGACCATTTTTCACAGGAATGTTGAAACATCGTGTGATTAAAATTTGGATGCTTGGCAACTGGCATGTATTTATTGTGGTTGCAGTGTCCTGGGGTCACCTTTTGTGACCTTCTCACAGACAAAGTCAATGGGGAAACCAGACTCACTTAACATTGTGTTACTGCCATAACTTAACAAGTGCGGTGATTCAGTTAATAGCTGTCTTGCTCAGAAATGGGAGCTTGGAACTCAATTGTGGCTGTAACTCAATGATTGCCTGTGTGTAGAAATTATAATTTGTAAAGTTTGATCTACTGAGTTGATTGCATTTTATGCAAGTGCTTTCTAAACTGCCAATAGTTCTTTTGCTCTATGGTGGAAGTGAAATATTTTTTAATAATAAAAGTTCAGTGTTGTATCTAGCACTTCAAAAGACTTGGAGCCATTAATGATTTTGTTGTACTTCTATAGAGCTTAAAAATGAAGGAAGAAGAAAAGAAAAGTCAGGAGGGAAATAGTGTGCCCAAAGGAGCTGATTTCCAAGCAATGTGATTAGATTTACACTCAGTCTTAAATAAATTGTTTGCTGATGCAGGCTGGATAGTATATAAAAATGAGTATAAGGACATATGTTTGCTATTTTCTATTAGCATGTTTGGCAATTTACTGCCTTAAAATAAAGGCTGAGATTGCTAAAATAATGTGCTTTGTCAGAATATCAAGATGTATAGTATTGACATTATCAGATTGGAAAAAAAGATTCTGAAACATCATGAATTACATTTATGAGAATTCATTGTAATGCATCCTTAAGTAGATACGTTGGTATAAGTTAATTTTCTTTGAGCTAGTCAGAACCAATTTGCAAGACTGATTATCTGTAGGCTACTTCTTTTCTATTAGATGCTTTCCAATGTATTTTAGTATGATGGGTTTCTTTAAGGCATGTGTTCTACTATTGATTGGATTGAATTTTCGTAATGCTTAACACAGATCTATTTAAAGCAATGGGATGAGTGTCAGGGCATTTAGATTTAAGCATGAATAAATGTGGATCCAACTTTCTTATCTTATTCACATAACGTGCTTAGGTAGAACCAAATATTAATAATCTAAATCAGGGTTATACAACATTTCTTATTGGTAGGGGTTGGTTGTTCATTTTAAAGTAAAGGGCCTAGAAGAAGTGAAATAGAAATACAGCTGAGGCGAAGCAAAACAAAAATGCCTCTCTGTGAATGAATTAGATTTTACAGTTTGGGTTTATTCAACATAGAACTTTAAAATATTTGGATACTAGATATCTATAATTATGCCTATAATATAACATCAAAATTGAACAATTGTTGTGTTATCATCCTCAGGTCTTTGGGGTGGGCAAGGTCACAAAACTGAGAATAGACAGACAGCTGCATGTAATCTATAAACCACAATGGCCTATCGTTGATCTAAGGGGAAAGTGTTGTTGTCTTTTTCCCCCTGTTTCAACTGGACATTTTTATGAAGTTTAAGTGGATTTAAGTTTTAAGTAGTAAGCAAATGATTTAAGCAATCAAATTAAAACCTGAATGTTTTGGTTGGGTAGGTTGTTTTCTGCATATTTTTTTCCTACCAAAGAGTACTACTTCTTATTTTGTATTTGTAACAAATTTCCATCATTTTCATGGACTGCAACTTTGTTTAGAAAAACAAACTGTATAGATAGTGTAAACTTTCCTCTTAGTTATAGTTTAAACTATAATTTTTATTTTTGTTTACTTCAAATGTCCTAAATTTCTTACAATGTAATGTTTAATTTTATTCAACAATCTGAGTTATTTTATGCCTCTGCTAGACAATTTGGTTGTTCGTGTGAAAAATGGCCTCACAAGTTCAAAGTACAAACCTGTTGATTATGAAGAACTCTATGCAATTACTGAAGCGAAGAAATTACAGTCTGCTAACATCCTTTTAAAGGTAAGTATCTATAAATCATGATGGATGTTATATGCAATTCTAGCTGTTCAAGAAAAATGTTCTATAAAAATCTAGTGTGTAGTAGCATTCATTAAAGTATATCCTACTAGACATTAGGCAAAGTATGGATGAAAACAGGAAGTCAGCAAAGATTGCTAATTAGTAACAGTATTAACAATTGGATTGTAAAACTAGCTGAATCTTTTATCAACAGATCTGAACTTGTGCCATTAATTAGTTATTGATGCTTATAGAGTATGTGCAATTTGTGACTGCCACTTGAAATTTTTTTAAGCCTTCATTTTCTTCTATTTACTCAGTTGTCTTTTTTATCCCTCTGTTTGAAGCAGTTTATAAAATTATTAGCAACACAGTAAAACTAAAACTTTTTCGAATTATGATTGGCTTCTGGAGACTACATGGACATGTAGTTCAGCTATGGAGATTTGGCAACAATATGAATGTAGTTTGCCTTGTCTCCTGTGGAGGAAAGCAATAAAACATGTATCACAGAATTCAAATGTTTCTTATGTACCTGCATGCAGTATCACAGTGCATTTATGAGCTTGAGTTTGCATTGTGACATCATAATGAACATTTCAACAACAGAATCTCCTTCCTTCCTTCCTTCCTTCCTTCCTTCCTTCCTTCCTTCCTTCCTTCCTTCCATCCATCCATCCATAAACATTACAGAGATAATTATTTCTGGGAAATATAAATGTATATGATTTGTATGGCCTGGCATATAAGCCCAATCAACAGTAATGTATTTAGCAAATCATAAGTAATAATGTTACTTAAATTCAATCTCTCTCAGCCTAACCCGGTCTGTTCCAAGTTAAGGCAGCTACTGCTAGTAAGTATTAACTAGCCCAAGAAAATATAACGAAAGAATTTTCAGCACAAGAACATTGTGACATTTGAAACTGCTTCCTTGTCACTGTGAATTGCACATTTATCAAAGATAAACTGAATAAAGAGCCCAGCTAGTCACTGGTCCATTTAATCCAGCTTTCTATATCACACAATCATTGTATTGTGGAAGGTCTCAGCATTCAAAATGACAGGATTGTGTTCTTGTGAACAACAATGTTACATTTAGTTGATTTATTCTTAATATTTACAAATAAATGAGATTTGCCATGAAATGCTGCAGCACAGATTGATCCTGTTCAGGGTGCCATCAATAAACCATATCCTTTTTCTAAATACTCCGTTCGGTTTCTAGGTTTCCCTTTGCGCTTCCCCTTTTAAGAATCAACCAACATGCTGTGCCATATTGGGCAAGTCTGATTTCTCATTGGTCATTTTTGAATTGTTTCTTCCCTAGCTTCATTTCCTCTTTACAAAAAGACTTTTTTTCCTCGTGCATTTGGAAACCTGAGCTTGTTCATACCTGCTTTTTGTGCAACGACAGTGCTGGTTTGACTCCATGAGGACCTCCACTGATTTCACAATGAGTTAATAAGCTGTTCTAATAAGCAGCTCTTAGGTTCTGTTTGATATTTTGCCCCAGCTTTTCAATATAGAGGAATGCTTAAGTAGCTTAAAATCTGAACAAGCTATAATTAGCAATCACAATATATGAGGCAGTCATGTTTCCATAACATGGAGAGATTGGGTTGCAGTGGAAATGAATGTCATGTGAAACAGGGAAAAGTTTGTCCCTTCACTTGAGTAAGAAACACAATTACCGTATTTCCCCATGTATAAGCCACCCCTTTTTTCCAAAATTTTCAAGCCCAAAAAGTAGGGGGGTGGCATATACAAAGCAGGTACACTTTTTATACGTGAAAAATGCATAAAATAATAAAGTAGGAATAAACTGGTTTTCCAGCAGTATGCTATACTGTTTTGTAAAAATTGTACGTGATGATACGATTACGAGTGCGAGTACGCGATAGAAATGCATACGCTAGGCATCGGCCTGAATGCTTCGTTCCTACTCTCGTTCCGATGCGTAGATTGCTAGCGTCGCCCGCACCGCTTTCGGCCTCATGACCGAAGTTGTAGATCTAGACGTCGAATTTTGTTTCTTTGTAAATTTTCTTTCTTTATAACTTGTTTCTCTAATAAAATATTTTTTTCAAAACTTCACAGTCCAAAAATTGGGGGGGTGGCTTATACAAAGGGGGTGCTTATACATGGGGAAATACGGTACCAGGCAACTGCTGTGATTGCTTAGCTATTACTGTGTTTCTCCAACAATACAGCCTCCACCAATAGGAAGGTCCAGCATGTTTTATCCGCATAAAATCAAATTAAGCCGCTCCCCCCAAATTAAGGCCTATATTAAACATGCGAAATGGGGGGAATGGAGGGGGGCTTGCCGTTAGGAAGTACTTTTGTTGCATACCCGGATATGGTACTGCCTGTGTTGACTTTGGCATTGGTGGGGCACTTCGTATCGGGAGACCTTCCGCCATCGTTGCTTTCCCTTCTCCCTTGCTGCTGCGGCGTTTAGAGCAATGCCGTGGCATTTGGCGCAGCCAGCCAGGGCTCCTCCCTGCAACCGGAGCCCGGCGGAGTCACTTGGCTTCAGGCGCTCCTGTCACCGCCTTCCTTTCGCCTTCAAAGGCAAAGCCAATTTTTTTTAAAAATGACACCCTGCTACCAGTATGACAAAGCCTCCCCTGCCTGAGAGCGCAGCCCAACTCCACGTGGGGAGGCGAATCTCCCAGGGCCGCAGCGCAGGATCGGCCCACCCCGGGAGAAGCACCCAGCTGCCATCCCTGCCTGGCGCTGGGCAGAGTGTGAAGAGCTTCTCCTGGGGCGCCCAGCACAGCTGACAGGCGGGCCCTCGTGCCCGGCGGCGGAGTTCTCGCCAAGGCAGCTAGCGTCTCCCTGCTGGACCCTCTGCTCATCCCGTCAGGGCCGTGCCAGAGCCCTGCGGGCTGGGCAGAGCCAGGAAAACAAGCCGCAGGTGCACACCTGCCTGCCAAGTGAAAGAGCCAGGCTTGGCTTCCTTCCCAAGTCCCTCCAGCCGGAACCCAAAGGGGCCACCGGGAGAGGCTGCCCGAGGCAGTGATAGCGCCCACCCATCCGTGGACAGGGTAGCAAGGCGATGGCCTGCGCTGCGTCCTCCTCCAAGCTGAGCTCCACTGAGTCAGCACCTCTGCCTGATGCCCATTCCACTGCAGCGTTTAGAGCTGCCGGCGCATTTGGAGATGTGTGGAGATGGGGACGGGCTGGGCGAGGGGTGGAAAGGACGGGTGGGTTCAGGCTCTCTCCGCTGGCCAGGAAAGCAGCACTCTGCTGCCGGGAGAGCTCTGCTGGCAGGAAGGAGGCCCCGCCTGTCAGCTGCGCTGGGCGCCCAGGTGAAGCTCTTCGCACTCTGCCTGGTGTCAGGCAGGGATGGGGGCTGGGTGCTTCTCCCGAGGTGGGCCGATCCTGCACTGTGGCCCCAGGAGATTCACCTCCCCACGTGGGGTTGGGCTGCCCTCTTGGGCAGGGGAGGCTTTATTGTAGTAGGGCGTCATTTTTAAAATAATTGGCTTTACCTTTGAAGGCAAAGGGAAGGCAGCAACAGGAGCACCTGAAGCCAAGTGTCTCCGCTGGGCTCCGGTTGCAGGGAGGAGCCCTGGCTGGCTGCACATGGCTGCTCCAAACGCCGCGGCATTGCTCTAAATGCCGCAGCAGCAAGGGAGAAGGGAAAGCAACGATGGCGGAAGGTCTCCCGATACGAAGTGCCCCACCAACACCGAGTCAACCTCCAAGCTGTCGCTGCCTGCCCCCCTGAGGATGCGTGGGGGGGGGGATGAAGTCACCCCCCAAAAAACAGCCTAGCCATTTTTTCGGGGGTCAAAAAAAAATAAGGCCCGGCCTTATTTTGTGAGAAACACGGTATGAATTTCAGCACAGCAATCTGTGGGGACATATGATTTAGTTTGCAGTTCTTTGTGTATCCCTGCCAGAACTCTTGCTGCTGATAACAGTCTAATCCTCTTAGGAACGTCCCTCTTCTGCCAAACCAGCAGTTCTGATATCCAGAACTTGAGTGCCATTCAAATGCACGATACTTGGGTATTAGGAAAGTGGGAGGCTGCAGATTACAGCAAGATGTGTCACTTTCTCAAATGGAGTAGCTGATGGCACCCTTCTCTGTGGTTTTCTCTATGCCCCACCCTCTTCCATAATACACACAGCCAAAATATATATTATTTTGGTGCCTGAGGCTGAAAATGTCACCTCTCTGGATATTGGCAAGAAAAACTTTACTGTAGTGAATAGAATAGAATAGGACAGGACAGGACGGGACAGAACAGAACAGAATAGAATAGAATTCTTTATTGGCCAATTGTGATTGGACACACAAGGAATTTGTCTTGGTGCAAATGCTTTCACTGTACATAAAAGAAAGGATATATTTGTCAAGAGTCAAGAATCATAAGGTACAACTCTTAATAATAGTCATAGGATACAATAAGCAATCAAATCATACTAGGAAACAGTCAATATAAATCGTAAGGATATAAGCGACAAAGTTGCAGTCATATAGTCACAAGTGGGAGGGGATGGGCGATAAGGAGTGATGAGAAGATATTATAGAACATTAAATCCACTAGCTTCAATATTAAAGAAAAGTCATATCCTAACACTTCTTTGGTTCTAGTGCAGGGATGTCAAACTCACGACACTTAGTCGTCACGTGACATATCGCAACTCTTCCCCTCTTTGCTAAACTGGGGTGGGTGAGGCCAGCACGTGACACATTCAGCCTGCCGCCACCCATGAGTTTGACACCCTGTTCTAGTGTATGTGCATGCGCGTATGTGTGTGTATCTGTCTGCCTGTTTGTCTGTGTATCCATATCCATATCCTGTTCCTGTTTTATTTACAATGGATGCAATTTCTTAAAATACTGTACCAGGTACAGTTAAGTGGCTCTTCCTATATGGCTGCAAAAAAAACTATTTTTGAGTGACAAGAAAGAATAAAACAAAACAAAGCAAAACACACAAAATGCTACCCTCTAAGGGTAGTTTTGTTTCATGTTACTG